TCCAATCTTTCCACCAACTCTCTTTCTACTCGTCGTTTTCAATTTTCGTCATTCTAGTTCGATTTTCAGATCAGCACACTTAGGATGTTTCACATCTGTCATCTTATTGTCTTTAGATACAGCAGTCAGTCGAAGTTCTTTGTCGTTCATCATAGCGTTGGTAACTAAATCTTGTCTGGATTCCATTATTGCCCTTCTAAAAGTTCTTGTATGAATTTCTTTCATTATCCCAGCTGAGTCCCCAAAATTTGCAGAAATACTGATAGAACTATAAATGACAATAATCTTCCAGCATTCATAACCATCTTCAAATTATGGATAGAATGGTAGGCATCCTTAACATCTTTAGTCCTCTTTGCGTCATCCCCAACTGTCGTCTCCCTTGTCTCTCTCATCCGTTCTCCCTCATATCCCCCGCAACCCCTCATTTATTTTCTTAACAGTTTAGGAATTCTACTCGTCTAACCCCACATATATGACTAATGCTGGCAGTTAACAGATATTTTGGTTTAAGAAGAAATGCAAATATTTTTAATATTTTTAGAGAAATTCATATACAGTAAAACCTGAATACAAAATGGAACCTGAATAAACTGGAAACCTATCTAAATGGGGAAAATTCTTTGGAACAGAACAATTTATGTTTAAAAAACCTATACAAAACGGAAACCTTCCAAACTGGAAAAAATATTCTATACCACATGGTTCTAATATAAACAGGTTTTATTCTCTTTAAATATAAATTTTACTGCACTTTGATCCAAATCCATATATTTTATTGTCTCTGATGCCAAAATCGTATGAAAATACTGTGACTAACTAAGAATTCTCAAATGACAGATTCAATAACAGTTTAATTCCAAAATAATTTAAAAACGATGGAGTCAGACTGTTTCTATTCTTCTTATGTAATTGTAAAATACACGAAAAAATATATTTTTCTTTCTCCTCTGACTTGACTTATGGATATTTTATAACTTCAAAGAAATTTTTAAAACGTTGTATCAACAATGAATAAAAAAGATTAAAGTTAAAAAAGGTAAAAAGGAGATCAACTTGCAAAGAAAACTTTTATTTACATTAATAAACCTCTTAAATGCATTTCGCCTATGGAAGGGCTCTTCAGTAGGTCTAATCGTACACAGTTTATGCTCTGACAATAACTTATTAAGAGAAACCACTTATATAATTTACAAAGAATTCCCAGCATTCCACTGTTAAAATTCCCATATTCAAATTTACATTGTTGTTCTGCATAATTATAGCAATGTGTTCTTTTACTTTCCGTTTTACATTGTTTTTTCCCTAAAGATAATTTTTAATTTATTAGTATTAATTTGACAATTATTAATATTACAGTGTTGGAAGACAGGAGAACTATCAATTCTCAACCTTACGGCAGCCAGGTGTTCTGACAATCTAATATTCAGTCTTTATTTCGTTTCACCAATGTAAAAATTAGGGTTGTTACATGTACATTCTATTCGATAAACTAATGTATCTTTTTAGTGCTTCTTATAATCATCATATTTGATAATCTGTTATTTTGAGATGGAGCTAATCTGATTAATTTTTGGTTAAAAAATTTATTATATTTTTCATAAATACCTTTTATATGTGGAAATGATACATACTGTTTTATTCCTTGACATTGTTTAACATTAAATCTATTTTTTTAAAATCTGTTGTACCAGTCATTCAATAATCTCTTTGGGTATCCATTTAGACTATATTTCCTATGTGTATCTCTAATTTCTTTCTTTCTTTCATCTATATTTGTTATTCCAGAAGAAATCTTTATCGTTTCCATTAGATATATATTATATTTTTGTTTTAAAGGACAGTATGATTTAAAATTAATAACTTTTTTTGTATTACACAGTTTTTCAAATTTACAATATTCTAAATGATCTTTAAATCTTTTAATTATTATATCTAAATAATTTAACTGGTTATTTAATTCATGTTGCTGAGTAAATTTAATATTTGTATTGATTTTGTTAGCTTGCAAATTGTTTGTTACCGCACTATCATATATAATCAAAATGTCATTGACGTACGTACCTTGCAAAAAACTTTATGCCATTTAACGTTGATACAGTAGTTCCAAAAACTCAGCATTGCTGCTGCTATCATAGTTAATGAAAAAATGCTGGAAAATGATGAAGACATTGTCGTTGAGGACCCCTCTGTACAAGCTCCTAAAACATCACATAGTGAGGGACTAAAGGTTGTCGAAACCACCATTCAGTATTTTGAACAACAAGATGTATTGGTAATGGCTTACTGTTCCTTCATCGTCTTTGTGATGAAGCAGCAAAACGCAGAGTGCATTGCGGAAGACAACAGTACATTATGCATTTCTTTTAAAAAAAGTAGCCAATTTTTGCAAAGTCGGCTAGTTAATTTTCATTATAGATAGCTTTATGCCTCATAAAGTATTTTTCTAAGGTCTGTCTTATCAGGTAAATTACTGTACACTGTGTATTCATTAATTTTCATTTTTATGTAGTAAAGGCTCTGTGCCTTCATAAAGTATGCACTTTTCCTTTGTTTAAGGGTATTTGGGCAGTTTATTCTCTGTTGTAATCTCAAGCAAACAATACATACAGATACAGATACAGATACAGATACAGATATATTTTATTCAACACACTAGGTACAGCGTATACTGGGCGCCACATAGGTATAACCCAGTTTGATACAGTGAGAATAGTGACATGCTAGATATATAGTAATTGTTACAATTATTAGTGGATTAACAAGGAATTTGTCACAGATATATACAATTGATGGTTATATACAGTAGTTAGTAGGATATAATAATATAAAGAAATTAAATTAAATATCAGGTACAATAAATCCAGTANAGGCATTGTCAATCTCATGAAGTTGAAAGTCAGGGTCGTTTTCAGTGTGGATGTCTGCATTGGTTTGATGCCGAATTCTTTGATGGATTTCATTGTCATTTTCCTCTAAATCCTGCAGGCAGAAGCTATCGATTTTTCTGTTTGCAGCTAGGAAAAAATCTTCCCCTGCTGTGTTAGAATAGAGAATTTGACAACAATACATACAAGTACAGTACAGTATTTTCTGAGGAAACACGTGTCTTATTCTTTTTTAACCCCATTCCCAATAATCCGGCATTTTCACAAACTCGGCCACCCTTCGGTCCACATTAGGCCAAGTTTTCAGGACTCTACTGTAAAACCTTGTCCATATCCAACATATAAATCTCAGCCAATTTTGGTCCTATTACGGAACCCATAGAGATACCATCTGTTTAACGATAGAAATTTTCCTTTACTGTAAAGTAATTATTTCTAATGTGAAGGTAATTAAATCTTTCAAATAATCAGAGATACCATACTTACATAAACTTTCTACAATCATATTTTTATTAATGGAAGGATACATAGACATTATATCTAAGCTCATTAGTTTATAGTTTGGCAAAATTTCTCATTTTTGTAGTCTTGATATTAAATCGTCAGCATTTTTAACTGTATATTCTGAATTTGGTATGTCCTGTAATGGCTTTTTAATAAACATTTCTAGGTTATATAACAGTGTAAATCTATAGTCTATAATTGGTCTGCATTAGTTTTGTTTATGTGTTTTAATTCTAACATTTAATTTTAGGATTTTTACGTTTTCCTTTGAGAGAATTTCTTTACTTTGATGAGCCTGGACATAACCTTCTTTTATCAATTTCTTCAACTTTTTGGTTAATGTTCATTGTATATCAATGAATGGGTCACTTTCTAATTTTTCAGTTTCCTTCCGATATGATTTCTTGTTTCTTATTTTCAAATTCTTGTAAATCTATAATAACTATTTGATTTGATTTGTCTGTTTTTAATAAACATAAATTATATTTTTTAAAGTCCTTTTTTTTAGCATGAACTGTGTACAATTAGATCTCCTTAAGATGCCTTCCATAGGCAAAAATGCATTTAGGAGGTTTATTAATGTAAATAAAAGTTTTCTTTGCAAGTTGATCTCCTTTTTACCTTTTTAACTTTAACTTTTTTTATTCATTGTTGATACAATGTTTTAAAAATTTCTTTGAAGTTATAAAATATCCATAAGTCAAGTCAGAGGAGAAAGAAAAAAATATTTTTTCATGTATTTTACAATTACATAAGAAAAACAGTTTAATTAGTTACCATATTGTAATGGAATCTTTATTTTGGAGTTCTTCCCAGGCCATCTGAGCAATTCTCTATTTTAATTTTGTAAACTTGATCAGTATTTTGAAATTGCTAATTTAAAGTATGCTTTATCTTGAAAAGGACATTTTTAAGTTTAATTTAAGTAAAAATGCTTTATATTTATATAGCTCTTAGAATTGCATGAATGACTTACATGTTAATATGCAGAAAGAAAGAATGGACTTTAAAATATTTACTGCTTTAATGCTGTACGTGCCAAATGAATGAACCTGAACAAATGCGAACACACAGTTTAAAGAGCATCAAAGAGCATTAAACATGCACAAAAAGAAACAGGAACTAGACTGCATTATTGTACATCATAACAAATGTTTAAATCATGCATTGTTCTGTATTTTGCACAAATATACCAAATGAATCGTGCTTGTAAATACTTTACTCAATGTTTCAGTCAGTGTGTTATGTGGTGTTGAATTGTGTGCACTTGATTTGAATAGAAAAGTATACAGCCATTTTTGTTTAGGTTATGTTACTTTCTGACATTCTGTATAGTGTTTAATGTGCTGGTATTTCGTGTTTATGAATGGAGTCTTCTAAATTATTTCTTAAAAATGAATAGTTATGAGCAAATATTACTATTCATATGCAGTGATGATGATAAATATTTTGACATTTCAGTTAATGTTGCTATATTTATAATTTAATAGTTCATCAAGTAAAAACTCTGTTTTTAATTATATAATGTATTTATCACAAAAGGAATTTGATTTAAAGTGAATTTAATTCTATTATGTCGCTTAGGATTAATGTTAGTTCTATTTTCAGAATATCGTAAACAAAAGGAGAAGGAGAAAGTGGCATACGAGACAGCAAAGCACATGAATAATCCTTTACCGAACTCACAGGACGGGATTAAAACGGAAGGGACTTCTACCATCACCTCTAATGTTAGTAGCAGCATCGCGTCAACCATGTCTGTTCCGATAATGGTTCCTCCCATGGTACAGACGCAGTATGGAATTCCCATGCCAGGTAAATTTCAAGGAAGTTTGACGATATTTCAAATAATTAATCTTCATGTAAAAATATGTTATATTCTATACACACATTACGTTTTATTCGACTCAAACACTGATTTGAAAAAGCAGGTCGACTCAATTTACTTTCCAAACAAACAAAACTCTGTTGCTAAAACCTCAAACTTTTTCTAAGATCTAGGGCTGTATTCTGGTCACCGTCTCTCGTCTCTCACAAGCCAGTCGCTGATTGGCTAATCCAAATGATTAGCCAGTCAGCGACCAGCTTGTGAGAGACCAGAGACGGTGACCAGAATACAGCCCCTGGTTTTATGCCAGGGGTAAATAGAAGAATATCTAGCACAAATAAGAAGAAATCATGGAAAATTTGTCCAAGAAATTTACTCATAATTAGATATTTGGAAAGAGAAGGCAACGATTTTAGTCAACCTGAATATAATAAAACCACTTGTATATTGACGACTCGAGGAATCCAAGCTACGCAAAATAAGTTTCTTTAATTTTGTAGTGCTAACAAATAGATAATCTCGTTTTTGGTGACAAATTCTGCTTAAATATTAATCCTACTTAAAGTGTACAGTATGGATAGAGTATTATACAAAGAAATGTTAACCTTTTTTATTTACTTATTTATTTATGATATTCACCAAAATTTTAACTTCCTGGCCATCCTCCAACTTTGCCACAGGAGAATTTCCCACACAGAGTTAAAGGGTGGCCTGGAATGTCTGCACAAGAAAGTTACAGGACGATTGATTAAACGACACAAAACAAGAATTAATTCAGTTTTATAGTAATAATTTGACACGTTGCACATTCAAACAAATAATTTTGGTTTTTGTTTTTAGGCCTGATGCACCACCAGCACATGGTGATGCCTCCTCCGGTGCCGATGGGAGTTCCTCCTCCGAACCCAATGCTGATGGTTCCGCCTACTTCACAGCCTATTCTGGGAGCACCTCTTCCGGTCATTCCCCCCATACCCTCAGGCCCAATGAACATGCCTCCCGGCGTTCCAGGCCCCCACGTACCCACGTCTACTGCTGCTGTTCCCAACAGTGTTGCCGCCTCTTCTGCAGATACGTCCAATCAGCCGGCGGGCGATGCCACACCAACGGAAGAAGATGGCACTAGCAATGTCGTGACCACCAGCACTGTGCAGACGTCCATTCCGGCCGCGGTTCCCTCAACGTTGCCACCTCTGGGCACGCTACCTTCTCTCGGCCAACCCCCATACGGATCTTCAATGGGAATGCAACATCCCATGCCCCACAGCACCGCCAATCCTCCTCCATTTCCACCTCCCGGCGGTGTCAACTTCCCGCCTTCCAACAGACACATGCTGCAGTCGCCTCAGACCATGGGTGCCACACCGCCCAACTGGAAACCCAACAGCAGCTTTTTGGGGGACAATGACCTGCGATATTCTGTCCCTCCTTCTGGCGCGGTCTCTCAGAGTATGGCTTCAGCAGGTGCTGCGCCATCCAGACCGCCCTCCAACTTTGCCACAGGGAATCCAGATGGTCGTCTTGTTCCGCCAGCACCTGCACCCGGAAACCATTCCACAAACCCTCCGGGAGATGCTGGTGGCTCCAAATTTGGAAACCAGGACCAGTCATCGGGACACCAGAACTTCTCGGCCGTGCATGGACCTGGTCCAGGCGCAAGGAATCCCCACATCAACATGAACAGGCCACCAATGAATCCTCCCATGCCCCATCCCGACAACATGAGTGCCGACCCGCTCAGAGGACCCGAAGCCAGGAGGGACGTAAGAGGAAATTCTCAGGATGCTTTTGTCAACAAACACCAGGAAATGCTCCCACGCATGGTGGGTTCACAGGAAGCTCCGAGACCGTTTTTGCCGCCCAGAGCCCACGGACCACCTCCGGGCATCCCCATGGAAGATCCAGGGCTGAGGGCCAGAGGGCCGATATTCCCCGGTCCCCGTAATTTTGGACCTCGAGGACTTCCACAGATGCACATGCGGAACATGGGCCCCGACTCCGTTCGCGGGCCCGGCCCCATGGGGCCGATGCGTCCGCGATTCCTACACGGTCCCCGGGGGATGGGTCCCAGAGGGATCGGTCTTCGACCCGAATTGGAATTCGCCGGACACCCCAGGGGGGAGAACCCGAGAAATTTCGGCCCGCCGCCCAGAAGATGGAACGGCCCGGGGCCGGGACAGGGGCCCGGTCCGGGTCCCTTCCCGGAGATGGACCGCCACGGACCGCCGCCACCCGATTTTCACGGAAGAAGAGAGTTTTTCGAAGGTCCCCCGCCCCCTTTCGGACGAGGACAATTTAAGGGTAGAGGCAGGAAGAACTGGAACAGAGACATGGAAGGCGGCCACCCGTCCAACAGGCGGTTCGGCGGCGAGCCCTGGCCCAGGGAGGAGAGGGACTGGCACAGAATAAGGGACGAGATTTACTTCGGCCACCCCGACGACAGGGAGCAGCAGGAGGAGGGCGCCGAAGAGGAGGCCGAATTCTACGGGGAAAGGCACCGATTCCCCTCTCAGGACAGGAATTTCGGCGACGACGCGGAGAGGAACGGATGCCCAAGGAACGCGGCTGAGGAGGAGTCGGCTGACAAGGGGGCCCCTCAGCAGCAGCAACAGGAGGAAGAGTCGTCCCCCGCACCTCAGCCCGAGCGCGAGGAGCTGTCGAAGGACGCCGAAATCACCATCGACCAAACCACGAACGGCGGGAGCAAGGACGAGGAATGCGCGGAGAACAGCGCGGATGCCCCCGCCGACGCGGAGAAAGACTGTTGATACGCATGCGAAGATTTCGAAACTAAACACTTAGAAATCCGCAGCGCCCTCTGCAGATCATTCCATTTCGTTCGGACCCGCGCGGGTCGCACTTATTAAAAAATAATAATAATAAATAAAGTGGTCGGCCCCGCTGACGTCGATCCTTTTTTTTGTGGAGATTTTTGCCGCTGCGAAATCTACGGACTTCGTTTTATCAACGGAGAACTGGAGGAACCAGATTTTAAGAAAAAGTTTTTAAGTTCCCCGAAGATCGAAGCGTGCGGAAAAAACGAACACACTCCGTCATCGGCGACAGATTTTTTTGTTCTGTTTGTTTTTTCTTTTTTATTAAATAGAAAAGTGAAAGATTTCGAACGGCAGCAGACTCATCCGCCATTGTTTTTATTTCTAAAAAGAAGGAAGGAGAGAGGGAATGGATTTTATTTTAAACGTAGATAATTTATGAACTCGAATTTGTGAATTATAAACTTTTCTCTCGGACACTTCGGTTCATTTATTTTCCTCCCCCTTCGGTATTTTCCGTTTTGTTTTTTCACGACGTCACAGAACTGCTGAACGAGGTCCGAATCCCGAGTTTCTCGGGTGTACATATTAAAAAAAGAAGAAGAAACGCGCCACCCAGAGGAACACCACGAGAAAAATCTCCAGTGTTTGTTTTCGAATCCAGTGTCTCCGGTTTCAAGTTCTCGAAGTGTCATCGATACGAAAATGTAAAAATAATAATAATAATGATAATTTTAAAAGAAAAAGTCTGTGGCGGCGTGGCAGTCTCGGGCGAGAGAAGGCCGCGCCCTCTGGTGTGAAATAATGTATATGTTTACATACCTTATTAGTGTAATTAGTATCTGGCATCTAAAGGACCGTCACTCGTCCGAATAAGTAAATAAAATATTACATTTCATTCGTTCGAAAATTTAGCTTATTGAGTAGTGTAAGTCGACAGAGGAAACACCAACACGCACAAACACATACATGAGATTAAAAAAGAATTACCGCAACCGCCGTGTTTCTTGTTTTAATAAGTTACGCGTCACACGTTACGCTGCTTTTCCTCCCTCTCGACCGGTTACTTTTTTTAATTCTTCCGCTCTCGATTACTTTCCTCGTTTCCTCCCTTCCCGGCAATTATATGTAAATGGAAGAACATCGTCCATCCGGGGGGAGAGACGAAAATTGATAGAGCGACGAGAGGAAGGAAGCCGGATTTCGGTTTATTATCGAAGTCCAAATTTAATTTCGTTCCCTCGGGAGGAGCGGAACAGAAGCGTTTTCTGTTACGCCCAAGCGATTACAGATGTCGCTGGAATCGTAAAAAAAGAACACTCGTCGCGACTCGAGATATCTGACGCCACTAATTCGCGTTTGTAATGGAAGCGTAACCTTAAGCAACAGTCATGTAATTACTCTCCAAAGTAACCGGTAAATGGTGCGCGGAGCTAGAGGTCAGGGGGCGTCGTGCGAGGAAAGGACCATTAATTTCTCTTCCGGTTCGGGTTAAAGGTAAAAGATCGTAGGTCGCGTGCTTTTAAACTAAAGCCTCGCCGAAACTATGCGATAACACCGAGTTGCTAGAAGTCCACGTGACATTTGAACTCGAACCCCGACCCTACCGAATACATTTAACACTATTTTTATTTTTTTCGGAGGATTCTCCAAATACTGTATCAATTGTTTTAATGCGCCCCCTTCTGAGAAACACTATAATATAATTGAATGTGTTTCTTATAACGGGGGATGGATGCATTAACACGATTGGTGCTGCAAAGAAATCGCTTTAATTCATCCGTCTTTTAGTGTTTGGGGATACGAAAGTTTCCCTAAAAGGGGGGAGTCGAGTTAAAAGTTTCTTGGAATTCCCGAAAATCGAAGATAAAATCAGCATCCGCCCGAAAAAGATCGTTGTAAAACAGTGAAGAGAGGTTTTTATTTTATGTCTAAAGGCGAAATAATATAAAGGTTCTTATAATCTTAATTCCCTCTTCTTCGATATATTCTTCCCTACAAAAGGGAGAGAGAGAGAGCAAATATAATGAACGTGTTATTTTCTATTTTTGCTTTCGTTTCGCACTTACTCGCTCCGATGCGATACTACTTCTATTATAAGTCCTAGCGGGATACTTGGCTATTCTAAACAAACACATAAAATAAGAATAGAAGACGGAATTATATTTTTAAAAAGGAGATTCTCACTTGTTGCGTAATTCGTTGAAAACTTCCGACATGTTTTTCCGGTGTCGCGCTCTGTATTTCTTTTTCTCTTCCCTTTCTTCTTCCTGTAAGGTTGAGATCTTGTGTTTTACGTTTCTATATACGTCATCGATAATGTTACTTCTTACCTTGACGTGACGGAACAGTTCTAAAAGCTCGAAATTCAAGGCTCTGCGCAATCGATCCGATCTCTTTCGAACGTTGTCGAAGCGGTATTTTCTCACGGCGTTGGTCCTCCATTCCGCCTCTTCCTCTTCCTAAACACGCGATGATGATGATGATGATGACGTAAGAAGGGAAAAACCCGTGCTAAGTCTACTCACCAGACGTGATAGTCGATTGCGCCAAATTTTAGAGGTCAACTCTGAGAGCATTCGGTCTTTAAGTTCGATCGCTCTTCCCTTTTCTTCTTCCTCGCGCTCTCGCTCCTCTTCCTGTATTTCAAGGGCTATTTCCTTTATCTGTTGATTAAGTTGCCTTTTCGAGTGATGAACGTTGGCTAATTCTTGCCGAATTTTTGGGTCCAGGCACTAAAAATGAATTTTTTAAAGAGTGAACACCGTGTATACAAACAATATAAGCGACGCGACGCGCTACCTAAGCGAGTTATCCGCGACGTTTATACAAACGTATAAAAAAAGGAAGGTAGAAAACGATAACACAGGATGATTTAAGAAAATAATAGTAAATATATAACGAAAAATCTTTATTATTATTAAATTTTGATTATCGGTAAGAAGCGACGCAACGCGCATCTACTCGCATCGTCGCACGCGACGAAGATAGCTACACGACTCACCTCCCACTTAAACAGGGATTGTGAGAAACACCTGCTTTCTTCAACCTCTCGTAAGACTTTCTTTTTACGCAATTTCCACAAAAGTTCTTCGTGTACTAAATCCAAATGTTGGTTCCTAGTTTCCGTTTCGTTCGCTTCCGCTTCCTCCTCCTATGCGATAAGTCTTTTATTTTAAGAAAAAAAAAAAAAAATGAAATCTCGCTTTTTCACCTGTCCGAAAGTGAGACGTTGTTGTAATTCGTCGGAATGGAAGCTCGGCCATTCACGTTCGTCGTTATTTATCCTCCTCTTCCCTCCTTTCTCGTACTCTCTACAATTAGTTCGGGATTAAAACGTGGAATGGAGAGAATTAAGAAACTTCCATTCATCGGTGCCAAATGAAAGCTCTCCGTTAACTTAATGGGAGCTAAACTGCTATTTTATTGACTTAAGCCCTCTCGGAAGCGCTGCCACTTTCTATCAAGCGGGAGAAGCTTTTACAGACCGACAACACAAATTCGATTACGTCGTCTATCCAGCCTATTCAACAGAAGCGAACCAATTTAACAGACATCGCTTTCGGAGATATCCCCAAAAATTACAGTTTAAGGGAACGATTTAGGGATATATTCAATCAAGAATAGGGAACTTACGCTAACTCTTCCCCCCCAGCGGAAATTTCCCTCCGCTTTCAACAAGTTGTATGGAAAAATCTTGTTTTTAATCGTTCTAAGGGGGGAGGGATTACCCGCAAATAGGTCGGTGCAGGTATCCCATAAATATCCGGAATTTATGGAAGCGTGGGGAAATAACCCAAAACGTCGTAAATCCGAGGATAAAACTGTTAGATGGGTTTCGGAAAAGTCGTTAATGGTAGAAGCGCGCGAGATCGAATCTACGGGGGTCCATTTTAGTGGCAGTTTGCCAACCCCCCGAAAATCGATCGGCAGCAGAAACGCTTTACTTCCGGTTTAATTAGGCTTTCGGTCGGGCTACCGACGAGTGGTCGCCGCTTCCGTTGGGATTTCGAAACGACGAACAAACGAGGCGGAAAGACATTTACTTGTCGAGAGCTCGCGAAGTGAGTAGAGAGAATGTTTGATGAAGTCTTTCGGGAACTCTCACGTTGTAGCATTTTCCTTCGTAGCTTCGACGTAGCGGTTTGTTGTAGCGGTAGCGTACATCCAACTGGAATACAAGACACGCGTTAATTATATTCTGCCGTTTATTTATCGGTGGATGATCGAAATTACCCGACAAATTCCCGGACATTTCAGGATTCCGAATCTATTTTCCCTGCTTCGAACCGAAGCCATCAGTTCCCGTCGCAACGCCTCGTCGCAGATTCGAGTTTCGTCGACAAAAACGGATACTTCCGAGCCGCTTTCAGACAGACGAAATAAATTCGATTTCCTTTCCGGCGATTTTTTCGTTTCCGGCATTTTTTTTGCATTATATAACGAACATCTGTTACGCAATAATTGATTTCTATCGATGATTGAGTTGGGGAAAATAATAATTGCTTCGGGGATATTTCGGTAGCCGCCCATTCATTTAAACCGTACAAATTTTTCCCTGTAGGGAGACTGTTTCGATTGGGACTAAAATTCTCCCGTTTCTTTTCTAAATGTAACATTTCGCGTTTAGAATAGTTAACTCTAATCAATAGTTTGATACTTTTCGTATTCGACCGTCGAACGAGCCGGAGACGTACTGTACGTCATCGGCGTAACAAGAATTGACAATTCTACGCGTACACCCCATTACCGACATGTTTCAACACCTCCATGCGGACGGAAAAGCTTTTTCCCTAAATTAATTAATATAATAAAAAAATTGTAATTTCTCTTTTTATGTGTATATATATATATATATCGGAAATTCTCTTGGGATATTTTTTTCCATTCCGAAAACGTTTCGGTCCACGGTTGGTTTCGCGTGCGCGATGAGAGACGTTTTTGTTCTTCCGTCAGTAACACCCCCTCGATAATGACATCGCGCCGGACGGAGCGCACCCGTTATCGATCGCTTCCATCTCATCCATTAGAGCCGTCGGCCCTCTTTATTTATTTATAGCCCCGTTGTTTCCCTCGGACGCGTTGTAAACTCCGCGTTACAACTCCGCTCGACCGGTTTCGTTGGCCATCGCCCCGCTGCCGACGCCAGACGCGTCCAGGCGTCGTCGCGCGCCGTCGGTCCTCGCCCGTTTAAAAATACCCTTCGTCATCAATAAAAAAAAAATGCGCGAATAGTCAGACTCGTCCGTCGATAATTGCGGAGACACACCCCATTCGCATATGCTTATTATTTATTATTCTTTTTTAGTGGCAATTAATAAAAAAACCGTGACCGTCGCCAACTTCGTCCGCTAGATGTCGTCGCGTGCGCTGATGGAAAAGGAAGGAGTCGAAATCGTAATGTTTGTACCGACGATGGGCGATTTTTGTCGATATGGAAGGTCCTAATTTGTCGTTAACGTTGGGTTTTTGATACGTTTACCTATAATAGTTCCATTGACGTTTGATGAAGTCGATATTCGTCTGGAGATCGGAGTCTGGCGGCTTGGGCGAATCAGTACTTGTCGGAAAGAAAGTTTGGAGTTTCCATCAAAGAATCTTGAACGAACGAAATTGGATGAACGGGACATAATGCCGCTCGCACAACTCGCCGACCCATGGCAACGAATGGAAATAAAACAGGACTCGGAGACCGAGGTTAGTCTCTTTCTTCCCATCTCGGCCACTTCCTTTCTCTCGCCCCTCCCAAAAACACTCCCCCCAATTTCGGGGGTCTCACTCTCTCTCTTATAAATCTTCAACATAAGTGATTAAAATGAAAGATAAATTCTCCATATCTTTATAAATTATTATTTTTGTGTGTTTCTGTAATGCTTGTCAAATGTTTGTTTACCAGCAGTTGTTTTTGTCTGATCTCTGTGTTCTTTGGATGCGGGACCAGATGGCCAGGGTCTCTTTTCCGCCTGCCAGTAGTCGACACCTTGGAGGACGGTTGTATATTTTGCCAGGTATTTTGTTACTCAGAACCACATTGGCGGTTTGGATCATGTTCGTTTGCAATCAAATAATACTGGCCCGCATGCGGATCTGGAATGCTCGGGTCCTTAGTTTTATACGTAAATGTAGTCAAGACTTATTTTGCGAAGTTCTTTTTTATTTCGAAGCTAAACATGTCTCGAGACATGGTAATTGTCATTCTCAGTAAATGTGCACATAAACGTAGAGAGTAACATTTTAAAGAATTTTAGAAACAAAACATTATGAATGTAAACATTAAAGTATTTATATATAAACAAATCTATTTTAAAATTCTTCAATTATTTTCTTAATTTTTCTGAATGACTTTAAGGTGTGTTGTTGTCATCATCTTGGATTAAATATGATCGTTAAAAGCTTTTTTTTTTGTTAAATAAATTTTAAAAAATGCTTGAAGAAGTTCAAAAGCAAATCCCGACTGTATTGTATTTGAATTAATGGAGTGAGGAATTATTTTGGTACTTTGAAGTTATCCAAAAAATATAGCTTTTGTAAAACATTTTTGAAATAAGGTATGAACGTTGGCTTAGACCCACCTCTGGCTAAATCTAGATCGTACCTTTGATGTAGCCAAGAATACTTAACTACTACTCGTCCAAAGGCAAGGATTAGCTAGCATCTGAGATTAGATCTCACTTCTGAAATTAGTCCTATATCTTTAAAGTACATAAAATGTGCTTCTAAAGATAGGGACTTATAGAATGGATTGCTCTTATCTATTGGACAATCTTTATTAACTATTTACTGTTAAATGTCAGCATATGGACAGATGCGTGATCAATTTCGGATTGAGTCTAATATCTAAATATATTTGAACAGTTTTTTAAAACAAAAATGATTTTTTCCATCATTTAACATTTTTAATTATTTGTTTAATATTGATAAATCATCTAGAAATCATTGAGACATAATCATAAGGTAGATTTATGTTTTGCAGTGAGTATAATTTGACTAATTTGTTCAAAATTTTTATTCTCGGACATCGTCAGTTATCTCGCTTACACTATACAATCGTATAAACAGAGAGGCAGGATCAGGACAAAAGTACAATTCTTTCAGTATATTGCCAAGTTACTATCCTCAACAATTTTATTATTGTACATAAAATTATAAATCTCATGAATAATAGATAGCTTTGGCAAGAGAAAATTGCTAATCTTATTTTCAATCATGTCCGATCACTTTCCTTATTCTGTTAATCCTATGGTAAATAATAGATGATGACAATGACAAGAAAAAGAAATCAATATTTAAAATAGAAGAAGCCTAAGTAAGTGAAGTACTGAACCAAATATCTGGGTTTCCTCAGCAATGTGGACTTACCAATTACATACAAGCTTAATACAGTCAATTTTATTGGTCAAACATTTCCAAGATTTTTGCAGAACGTGAATACTCCAAGGGTCTGCACAACTGTGACATAAAACTTCATCAATCCATAGTAGCGTTTATGAGCTCTTTGTGTGTCAGCAATCATATAAACTTAAAATATAAAATAAACAATGGAAAGTAAAGAATGAAATTGTATTCAACACACTGCATGCTAGCAGTCACACTGAACTGGTGCTGTGCTATGTGTACCTTGGAAATCAAAGCAAAGCAGCCGTAAGGTGAACTAAAGCTTTAGTACAGTCCATTAAATTAAAAAATAGTCGATTTTTTGGTCATTTCAGTAAGCTGGATGTTTGGTCTGGTACTGTACCGTTTTTATGTAAATAAAATGTGTATTTTGATACCATGTATGAATACTTTAGACTACGCTGTTATATAGAATAATTCTGTTTCTTGAGTACCTACATTCATAATACAATGAGAAATTTTTATATTTTAAAAGTATGTAATGAACTAACAATTGTAGAAATTTCTAATATAGTTAATCAAAAATTAAATTATTTTAGTTATTAAAACTCTTACAAGTTGCAGTGGCATATCCAGGATTTTTAGAATGTGGGAGCAGCTCAAGGCAGATTTGGGGGACCAAGACACATGCCACCTGTTGTTTTTCGGAGAATGTTGTTCATTACCTTAGAATTACTTTACTTACCTGATTTTACTTAATTGAAGTCATGTGATGTGTCATATTTATCTTAAAGTAAAATTGATTGCATTGATGTCAAGGGATGCTGTAGCACCATAGATATGTTCCTGACTAGTTGACAGCACTACCTATCTCTAATATCAAATTTATTTATAAAGCTAGATACCAACCAATGCTTTATAGTATATTGGATTTAACGATGTTGTTTGTTTATTTATTTATAAATTCGTTTTTATTTAATTTAAAAACTTAATTTTCTAAAAGTCCAATGGACTGTTCTCTTCACAAATAAATAATAATATCCATTTATTACCATACACTATAGCTGTGAGGCATGGTTTTTCATAAGGAAGCCAGAAGACTACTAGAGACCTTTGAAAGAAAATGCTATAGGAAGCTGCTCAGAGTAGATTGGCATGGTATGGTCACAAGTGATGAAGTCTATAAAAGAGTCCAACCATAGAAAATGGGTTATCCAATGGAAACTCAGCTCTTTGGTCACATCTGTAAAATAAATGACAAGAAAGCAGTTAAAACTATAACTCTTGGAATCATGGAGGGAGAAATAAGAGCTGGCCACATAGAGAATGGATGGGTGATTTTATTAAAGTACAAGAAAGATCTCATAAACAATTTTTAAACGATAAAGTATTTGGATAAAGCGATAGTTAAGCCTCTGCAATAGTTAACTTATTTTTGAATTACCCCCATATAAGAATGCCATTTGTCTTCAAACTTAGCAATGAAATTAAAATGTATAATTTATATTGATAGATTTTATTGTAATTTAATTATTTTTAAGCAAATGTTAAATATCATGATTGTACTATTCAACAAAATCATATTTTAAATTACATGTTTTCTTCATTTGAAATATCCTTTGGCTTTGAGTTTATTAAATATTTTTAAATGTATTTGTTAATTATGTTCTTAAACATGTGAATGAGCTTAACTTGAGAAAATTATTCATATTTTGTCTATTTGGATGCTTCCAAATGATATTAATTCTAATATTAATGTAAGTACCTGAATTCATATTTTATCACAGTAATATCAATAGATTGTTGTTAAGAAAATCTAACTTAACCTAAAAACCAGCAAAATTGTCATTTGTCAAGCAAATGTTTTCAGGCTAAAGATTGAAATATCACCGCAAAGTTTTTAAATGATTTGTTTTGTATACAGTGGTACCTCAGGATACAAAATTAATCTGTTCCGAAACTGAGATTGTATCGTGAAAATGTCGTAAGGTGAATCATTTTTCCCCATAGGATTACATGTAAAACCAAATAATTCGTTCCAACACGAAAAAACACTCAAATTAAAGCTAAGTAGTACATAAAAAAATAACTATAGTAAGGAAAACACTGAAAAATGCATTTTGAAGTTGTAAATGTATAAATAACCATAATAGAATAATAATTGATTAAAAAAAAATGTAGTTTTATTTGCACTTTACCTTTGATGATAGAT